AAATGCTTTTTTAATAATGCTGGGGTTTTCCTCCTAGAGCTGTCAGACCACCACTTGCATTTTGGGTGTTCTTTGAGAAATGCATCATGGAAGATGTAAAAAAAAAAAAAAAAAAAAACATCACAGACAATCAAAAATCTTTTCACTTGTGTTTTCTGGGTTTCCCCCAGAAAACTGTTTAGCAGAGTTGGAAGCGACTCAGATCTCCATACATCTTGTGGTATTTACTCTGTTTTTCTGGCTTATGTCTTGTTTCATGCATCATTTTGGTGAATTTAGCTGAGCCGGTCTTTGTTTCAGGCACGGCGGCCCTTCTCTGCTATAAAGCATGGCCAAAGACCCTGGCTGGCATTTTCTATATTTTCTTATTGTTAACAAATCCCATAAAACCACAAAGTGTCTGTTCGCCTCTCAGTACATTCCCACCCTGTATGTGACTCTCAGCCTCAAGCCCATTTATTCCAACTGAATACATACGTGTTTAAAAAAAGGGGTCACACATCTTCACTTAAGATTTTCAAAAAAAATATCTAATTTCAGCTAATTGCCTCTCAGCAAATGATACTTAAACAGGAGTAAATAGTGCATGCGTTGTTTGGACTATACTCAGCTACAGGTACCCTGAGTATTTACAGTAGCAGGACTGACTCCAAATAAACTATAGTGCCCATGCTCATTGTAACTCACTGAAATGCTTTTTGAACAACTACGGAGCTCTGTGGTACAGAGGAACACACAGTATCAGACTTTGGCTTCAAGGATGATTCTTGCCATTCCATAATTGGTTTTGGACTTGTCATAGCATCCATGACTGTAAGAAAGTTTGTTTTGCCACTTTTCCCGTGTGAACACACAACATACCCTAAACCTCTGACAATTAGTGTGTATTAAAGAATTGAGGCACAGCTCAAGACTGGAGATGCTCATCCCTAAAATTTCCTAGCCTCATTTCCTTTTTTTTAACAAAACCCTCCCCCATCCCTCCTACTTTAAGACTCCTTCCACACCACACCCATGGCCCCCCATGTGCAGACATGAGGTCAAGCTCCAAAGATCACAGAGAGAAGCCAGACGAAGGGTGGGGGGGGACAGAGACCTAAAATCCACCTTTCCTCCCAAACCAGGCCAAAACCTCAAGCCTTCCCATCAGCTCCAGACCCCCTCCTTTACCCCAGTTGTGTGTAAAGGAGGCAGTGAGCACTCTTGCAGAAACATCAGCCCAGGGAAATTCAAATGAGGGTGAAACGGTGAGAGAGACACACAGAGAGAAAGGGAGAGTGGGGGAGAGAGAGCACAATAGTGAGAAAATAGGATAAAAGAATGAGATGGGAGAGCGTTAGGTAGG